AGTCTGTGACTCCCTCTCTCTCTGACCCTCCCCTGCTTATGCTGTCTCTCTCTCTCTCTCTCCTAGAAATAAATAAAATATTAAAAAAAAAGAAAGAAAGAAAGTAATATGACTAAACTCTGTAAGTTGTAGAAATGAACCTTTTGTTTTTGTTTTTTTTTTTTTTTAAAATAACTTTTAGAGAGTATTCTGTTCTCAAGGTTAAAAATTCAAAAGGTACAAAAGATTAAGAGTAGAAAGGTCCCTTCCCACTTTGGCCTGCAGCTACTTGGTCCCACCTCCCTGGGATTACTCGATTGTTGTGTGGACTTCTCTGTGTGTTTTATGCACGCATACGCAAATATGAATATATTTTTGTTTTCCATTTTATTTTCTGTGTGTTTGTGTGTGTGTGTGTGTGTGTGTTTGGTTTAGTTTGTAATTGTGTGTGTGTGTGTGTGTGTGGTTTAGTTTGTAATCTGTGTGTGTGTGTGTGTGTGTGTGTGTGTGTGTGTGTGTGTGTGTTTGGTTTAGTTTTAGTTTGTAACCTACACACCCAGCACAGGGCTCTAGCTCATGACCTGGAGATTGAGAGACATATGCTCTTCTGACTGGGCTGTACAGGCGCTCCTGTTTTCCCAGTTCCTAAAAATGCGGTAGCACATTACATAAACTTCTGTCTCTTTTAGTTTTTAAAGGCACATAACACTCTACTTTCAGATTTGCTCTACTTAACCAAGCTGAAGTCCTCTACCTTTTTGAAGTCTTTCATTAATCATAGTTATATATCTGATATTTCAGTATTCTGTGGAAGTATTACTATTGATAGTCACTAAAATATATTAACAAATGAAAATGACTTCAGAAATTCCTGAGTTTGAATTAGGATGTTTTCTTTTTATCAGGTGGAAAAATCTCAGCAATGAAATTTTGTCCTGAAAATGCCACATAGTAGGAAGTATTAAGTATAAATAGAAAGGTATTTAAAGTAGAATAAAAAAAAATTCAGTAGATCTAAAACTTCCAAAGTTGGCAAAATAACAGGTATGAGACTTGGCTCTTGGGTTAACATGTATCTACCAGGAGATCAGATTTTTTCCAGAAAGCAAGAAGTTCCTCTTACTTTGAGGGCCCTAGTTTTAGCAAGTATATAGGTATAAATACATGAGACTACTTCAGGAGTTTTCAAAGCATTTTTATCTGAAGGCCTTAAGTAAGCAGAACGCCATTCTTTTGGGAATGCTTCTTCTGTATCTTCCTTTGGGCTTTTGACTTAAAAATCATGTTGATAGTTTACAGGTATTGTGAGCTTCTCATCTCTGAAGGGGTAATATCCTAATTTCATTACCCCACATTCAATTTAAATATACCTTATTCAGAATACAATATTGTTGGCATTTAGATTCTTGCTTTCATCTATCTTCCTTACCTCCCTTACATTTAAACCTAAGAATAAGGTTTTTTTTGTTTTTGTTTTTTTGCTTTTTAATGTTCATTTATTTTTGAGAGCAAGCGAGACATTGTGAGTAGGGGTGGGGCAGAAAGAGACGGAGACACAGAATCTGAAGCAGCACAAAGCCTGACTCGGGGCTCGAACTCACAGACCATGAGACCATAACCTGAGCCGAGGTTGGACGCTTAATGGGCTGAGCCACCCAGGCGCCCCACCTAAGAATAACTTCTGACTTTAGTAATGTGTTGTCAGCCTCACTCAGGAATGTGTACTTGAAAGAGATAATATTCTGTCTTTGGAACGTTGGTTTCAGGAATTCTCTTAAGTGGAGAACTTCAGAAGTCTGCTATGTTGATAAAATTTAAAAAAATCATACTAGCTTATTTCTATTTTTTTCCTGAACTCTCTTTTTAATTTAAAATTTTTAGTTGTGGTAAAATACACATAACCTAACATTTACCATCTTAACCATTGTTAAGTATACAGTTGAGTAGTCGTGCATTCGTAATATTGTGCCAGTCTCCAAAATTCCTTTTCTTTTGCAAAACTGAAACTCCGTATCCATTAAAGAATAACTGCACATTTCCCTAACTCGTGACAACCACCAGTCTCTAGGTTGTCAAAGGAAGAAATGGAATCATACAACAGTATTTGTTCTTTTCTGTCTCTGGCTTATTTCTGATATCTGATCTGCTCTAAGATAGTAATTAGGAACACAAATAAAGATCTTTGTACAGACAACATCACTAATCGTCACGGAAAGGCAAGTTAAAACCACACAATGTTCATAAATGGTCATCTGTACTATAGCATGTATCAGAAATCCCTTCCTTTTAAAAGCTGAGTAATAGCCCATGGTATGTATATGTCACACTTTGTTTATCCGTTCATCTGCTCGCGGACATCAGCTTCGGCCTTGCAGGCTGTTTGTGAGGAATGCTGTGATGAACTGCTGTTACACAAATATCTCTTTGAGACCCTGCTTTCCATTCTTCAGAGTGTCTTAGGAGTGAGATTTCTGGATTTTTACGGTCATCTTAGCCTTTTAGAGCAATGTAAAGTACCTATTCATAGAAAGATTGGAAAGTACAGGAGAATATGAGCAAGAAATTTAAAATCACCCATTAATCTGTGCTCAGAGAGAACAGTGGTCAGTATTCTGGAACCTGCAGTATTTTGTGAATCTTTTCTAATCTAGTGGCAGCGAATCATTTTATACACAGTTGACCCTTGAACAACACAGGTTTGAACCGCGTGAGTGCACCTGTACACAAAAGTTTTTTCAGTAAATATATATCCAGTACTGGAAATGTATTTTCCTTCTGATTTTTAGTCACCTTTTCTTTTCTGTAGTTTGCTTTAAGAATTTAGCATGTAGGGGGCTCAGTTGTATTTGACTCTTTGATTTTGGCTCAGGTCATGATCTCGTGGTTTGTGAGATAAAGCCCCCTCTGGGCTCTGGGCTGACAGTGTGGAGCCTGCTTGGGATTCTCTCTCTCCTGCTCTCCCCCACATGTGAACTCACGTATCCTCGCTCTCTCTGAAAATAAACATTAAAAAAATAATTTAGGATATAGTATGTAAACATATAAAATATGTGTCAATTGACAGTTTGTGTTATTGGTAAGGCTTCCAGTCAGCAGTAGGTTATTAGCAGTTATGTTTTGGGGGGAGTTAGACGTGGATTTCAACTGCACGAGGAGTCGGCAGCCTTAACCCCCACATTGTTTAAGGGCGAACTGTACTTCATTTTACATAGCTACTATAAAACATAAGGATTTTCCTTTAATTATTAAAAAGAAAATACAGGGGCGCCTGGGTGTCTCAGTCAGTTAAGCGTCTGACTTAGGCTCAGGTCATGGTCTCACAGTTTGTGGGTTTGAGCCCCGCGTCGGGCTTTGTGCTGACAGCTCAGAGCCTAGGGCCTGCTGTGGACTCTGTCTCCCTCTCTCTGCCCCTCCCCCACTTGTGCTCTGCCTCTCTCTGTCTCTCTGTCTCTCAAAAATAAATTAAAAAAAAAACAAACAAACCTGTGTAAACATATTAATAGCTGTATAATATTCCATCTGAGGGGTATGTCTTATTTCATTACTTCCCTGTTGGATATTTGTTTCCAGTGTTTGTGCTGTTGCAAAATTACACTCTGCAAACATCCCTGTACACAAAGTTCCCACCCTCCAACTTATGAGGAATAATTAGCATATAATTGTATGTATTTAAAGTGTACAGTGTGATGGTTTGATACACATATACAGTGTGGAATAAATTACCAAGATCAGGATAATTAACATATTCATTATCTAACATAGTTCACTCTTTTCTTCCTCCCTCCCTCCCTCTCTCCCTCCCCATGAGAATGCTTAAGATCTACTCTAACTATAGTCACCATGCTATACATTAATTAGATCCTCAGAAACTTACTTTTTATAACAAAGTTTATATCCTTTGACCTGTATCTCTCCATTTCCCTCTTATCCCAGCCCCTGGCAACCACCATTCATTCTCTGTTTCTATGAAATCAGCTTTTTTAAAATTTAATTTTTTTATTTAAGAAGTCACATAGAAGTGATACTGCTGGGAGCCGCACCGGCCTCTCTAGATGGCAGTCACAGCAAGGAAATGGCATTGTTTGCACAGCTTCTGCCATGAGAAATGAAGACTAGTATCTCCTTCTACTACTACTGACTCATGTTGGAAATAAGCCTGCTGGTATTGACTAGGCCTCCCAATATTCCATATCAGACCCATATTCTGAATACAGATACCTCATAAGGAAAAGCATATTCCTGTCTTTATAAAAGAGACTTTAGATGAAAGCTCTATGGGTGATTGTCAAAAGGCTCTTCCTATGGGCCTTGCAGATCCAAGACTTAGATAATAAAGGGGGTTAAGAACACAAGAGTTACTATTGAGCCTGGTCCCATATCAGAAGAGCCTTATTTATAGTTTATGTACTGATAAGTACAGAACATAACTTGCTAATTGGTGATGTATGGCAGTCCCTTCCTCAAGGCCTACATTCCACAAACACCCTCCCTTACACTGGCACCTGGGATGAGGATAGATAAGAGTAGCTAAAACATAAACCCAGGTGCAAAGACGGACACATTTAGGGCCCCCATGTTTGTTTCCACATATAAACCATTTCATAAACATTCATCCTCTTGAGAGCCAGACAGAATGACTCCTAGCTTATCTATATACAACTTAACCTATATATTATCCTGTTTTTCACTAAGAGCATCCTGTTAATCCTTGGTTGTAAATTCACTATGACTGAGATAATTCTGCAAAATATCAAAAACTTGTTATCGCAAAAGGCCTCCCATTGTAGAAATTCCTTTCTCTGACTTCATGTTGTTGCTGAACCTTTAAATAAAGACACAAAAAACCGACAGGACAGAGATGCCTGTCTGGTGATCAGAAAGAATCTCGGGGCTCTCTCATTCTCTTTCGCTGACACCGTCCATCCTTCAGGGACCCCTGGACCTGTCGGAGCCAGCACGGCCTCCGACATGATACCATACAGTATTTGTCTTTCTCGGTTTGGTGTATTTTATTTAGCATGCCTTCCAGGTCCATCTATGTTGTCTCAAATGGCAGGATTTCCTTCTTTTTTATGGCTGAATAATACTCCATTGTGTATATAGAAGCCACTTTTATTTATCCATTCTTCCATTGAAGGACATTTGGGTTGTTTTCATATCTTGGCTATTGTGGATATTGCTGCAGGGATCATGGGGGTGCAGACACCTCTTTGAGGTCCGTATTTAATTTCCTTTGGAGATATACGTGGACTGGGATTCCCAGATCATGCGGTAGGTTTTTTGTTTTTTTTTTTTAAAATAAAGTCTACTCCCAGCATGGGGCTCGATCTCACAACCCTGAGATCAAGAACTGCATGCTCTACCAATGGAGCCAGCCAGATACCCCTACAGGAGTTGAAGTTGTAATATTTTGAGGAACTGCCATCTCGTTTTCTGTAATTGTTATACTAGTTTACATTCCTACCCACAGGGCTCCCTTTTCTCCACATCCTCAGCACCATTTGTTGTCTCTGGTCTTTTTCATTTAAAAAAATTTTTTTTTAAATATTTTATTTATTTCTGGGAGAGAGAGAGACAGCATGAGCGGGGGGTGGTCAGAGAGGGAGGGAGACACAGAATCTGAAGCAGGCTCCAGGCTCTGAGCTAGCCGTCAATGCAGAGCCCAACGCAGGGCCGGAACCCACGAACCGTGAGATCATGACCTGAGCCGAAGTCGGACGCTTAACCGACTGAGCCACCCAGGCGCCCCTCTGGTCTTTTTCATACTAGCCATTCTGACAGGTGTGCAGTGATACAAAGTGATATATCCTTGTGGTGTTAAATTGCATTTCCCTAATGATTAGTGACATTGATCTGTACACAGGTCTTTGTGTTTCTGATTACCATCTTAGATCAGATACCAAGTTCTTGGGTCACAGAGAATGGATATTTAAGGCTCTTAGCTGTTGCTGCCTCACTTTTAGAAAGGTGAGGGCAGTTTATATTTTTTAAAATGAAACATTTATAATTTTTACATCTCTGCTAATTTGTAAGAGGAAACTGATGTATCTTTTAAGGGATGATGAAATTTTTCTATATTTATTAGACATTTATGAAAAATAAAATGTGTGACGGATGATTTCCACTTATCTGGGATAAACTAAACATGAAAAGACAAACAGAATGCCTTAGAAAAGGAAGTTTTGAAATATGTGTCCTTTTGGCATTATTTGGCTTACTTGAACTTGTTTCAGGCCCTGACACATTTTATTGTGGTGCTGTTGTGGCTACTGTACCTCCCCATACAGAGCGTTCTCACTGAGATTGGACTTCTTACAGTGTTGTTAAAAGTCATACTTTTCGCTTCATTTTGCTGTAGGTACAAACTCGTAGTGCTGATGAACCAATGACAACATTTGTTGTCTGCAATGAATGTGGAAATCGATGGAAGGTATGGCACTTTCTTACGTTCGTATTTTACCCATTTGTAATAGATTTCTTCACATCGTTTTATTAGACTACCTAGTTATCTAGATGTGTAAGTGAATGCTCGTGCTGTCCAGTATTACGCAAGTCCATGACGGACTGTCTGTAAAGGAATATACTCTACTCTTAGAAATGAAGAATATTCATGTTCCTCCCTTCATATTGTTTTGGTGCAGGAATAACAGGATTGGATCTTTAATGTGTAGTTACTGTGTCATAGTCCAGAATCTACTATATTCATTCGTTGCTTCCACATTTGCACTTCCAGAAAGTCTGTACACGTGTGTTACCTGTCCTTGTGGGTTTTGATCTGGAAAGATTATCTTGTTGAAATCCAGCCCAATGGTGTTAGTGTTTATTTTAGGAATTAACAGATGAGCACTGCCCTGGTTTCATTAGGCTTTTCACTGAGCTTTCTCACTGGAACCGCTCTTCTCTTGAATTAGCCCCACACGGGCATGTTAGTTACTTGAGGGATCCCTTCTTTTTTAAAAAAAAATTTTTTTTTAACATTTATTTATCATTGACAGAGAGAGGCAGAGCATGATCATGGGAGGGGCAGAGAGAGAGGGGGAGACACAGAATCTAAAGCAGGCCCCAGGCTCTGAGCTTTCAGCATGGAGCCCGACGTGGGGCTCGAACTCATGAACTGTGAGATCATGACCTGAGCCGAAGTTGGATGCTCAACTGACTGAGCCGCCCAGGCGCCCCCAGGGATCCCTTGAGTGATTTTTGTGAGCCACAAAAATCTAACTTAAACTTGGGAGAAGATTTACACATCACTTCTGAGACCATTTTTATCATTCACAGAGAGAAGGACGTTGGGTGTGGGTGGTTGGAGAGCTCCCCTGGTAGGGGTGTAGGGTCTTAGAGCCAAGCAGGTTATGAATTGCGTTGTTGCTGATCTTTTCAGTGCATTGTAATTTTACATTATGTGAAGTGTAAAAAATGTCTACATCACGGGCTGTGGTGAGGAGTGCAGATAATATATTTAAACTGCCTGATAATTGTTGGTATTCCAGAAATGCTGGTTGTTTTTATTAGATTTTGAGAAACCTTGTGTGCTTCTTTTTTTTTTTTTTTAAGCTGTACTTAGCTTTAGGCCTTCTACTCTAATGCTTATTTTGAATGATTCACATAAGTTAACGCATTTTCTGAAATTCAGAGGTGCATTAAAACTAGATAATGGGGAAATATTCTCCACAAATATGGAGAATGGTACGGGACTTTGCCCCTAGACTTGATTTTAGGGGTTGAGACCAGTGCCCATTTTATTATATACAAAGATTTAGCTACTGGTAGTGAGAGTCATCATGATTTGAAACCTTCTGTCTTCTGAGTTGGTAGAAGTTTTCTACATGGTTGAAGAGAGGGACGTTCATTAATTATTTTTAGTCCTGTTGAGCAAGACTGGTTTTTCCAGATAGCGCTTCAGTTTGCGTTGTATAATGGATGATGATTATTACGATTATTATTAGGCATATTGCAGTTTGTTTTGAATATAGTTTGTGCAGCATAGTTCTGACAGTAGTACCTGTTAGAGTTTAGGAAAGTTCAATTTAATGTAGAAAGACAATGCATAGGGTGGCTTAAGTTTTAAGTTTGAAATTAATTTTTTTTTGGAATTGATTTTTTTAACCTAAAAACATTAAGAAGTGTACTGTCAAAAACAATTTTGTACTATTTCTTCAGTTATAGACTCCTACTGATTTTAAGTTGGAAAAGTCAAACACATAGGATAGGTGACTATTCATGTCTGAGAAATAGAGCGTCTTTTTAAAAAATGCCTCTTCAGCAGTGTATGGTGTGTACTGTGTTTAAATGGGGGCGGGGTACACTCCATTGTGTGTATTTAAACGTCTTATGAAATATTTCTCTCTTTTTTTTTCTTGACAGTTCTGTTGAGTTGGAAGAAACGGCAAAATGTCTGGACCATTAAAAAATGGATTTTGTAATTAGCTTTAAAACTAGGCCATCTAGTTTTCTTGCAAATCAGATTTTTAAAGTAACATACATCCCTTGGGTTAGTGTTGGTTTTTGACATAGCATTCCTTCCTTAAATGCCTTCTCTAGTTTCAGATCGTTAGGGAGACCACATAATAATTATATGGTATCTGTTTCAAAACTTTTTTTTTCAATTTTATAGTAAGTTGATATTAAACTTTTGGCAGTTTATTTTTACCTTTTTTTTTCTTTTCAAAGGAAAACGTACCTTAACTTTTTTACAGTCCAAAACATATACAGTAGAAATGTTACTCTTCTCAGTTAATACATAAATGGAAATTACATTTTCCCCCATATTGGCACGTAGCTGCAAGTAGTAAACGAGGAGAAGAGGTATTATAAGTTTGTCAAATGTGGTGTGTATTCAGATAATACTTGACCAGCTTATCTAAATTGTACATAATATTTGAACTAGCCTATGAGATTGAATTAATTATTATGTTCACAAGTCTGGGATGATTAGATATTATTTTGCATTTGTAACTAACCATGATAATCATTTCCTGTAATTTCTTGTACATGTTTTTGACTCGTTCTTCATAGATTTTACTTTTGGAAACATGACTTTGTTGGAATCAGTTTGGTTTTGTTGTTTACTTACCTGTTTGACTTTGTGGTGCATTTTGGTTTTGTGGAACACTGTTGTAGTTGAGTAGGTTTTCCGTAAATCCCAGCATAGGCGAAGAATGAAAGCTTCTGACCATTTTTCTCGTCTTCGGAAGACACACCTGCAAAGAAAATGTTACTGTTTTAGTGCAGTATAGTTACTGTCAACAGTTAATGACTTGATTTTGGTTTGGAAATCTCTACTGACCAAGGATTAGGTTTAAGGACTATATGAATCATTAAAGCTGTGGTCTTTCCATATGGAGGTTGATAGAAAACATTTTGGTCCCGAATCCAATTTGCTGGCTCTTTTTCTGTTACACAATGAATGAGGTTCTTAAACAAACTGATTATATGGGCCGTATTGCAGTTGGTTTTACAGTACAGACCTTCTAGTTAATTTTTTTTTAAGTGCGTACGATTTGTTTTGTTAGGAGTAAAAAAAAAATGATTTTTTCGATTCCCTAGGGTACACTTGTTCTAGCCCATCATAGAGGCCGCCTTTACAAAGCCCACATTTTTATCGTGCTCAGTCCGTATTCTATCAGACTCCTGTAGAAAGACTTCAGTACATGCTTTGCACTCCCCTTTGCTCCCTTTTCCCACTTTTTAAACGCAAATCAATTTGACGTAACACAGAAGACAGCGTTACAGGTCTGTGCCAGGGCCCCATGTACGAGCACTGACCCCCTGTCCCATCCTGCCTCTACTTTGTCAGTCCTCAGATTAACCTTTATCACTTGAAAAATAAAGCGCATTTTTGGAAGAATGAGTTTTGGAAGAATAAAACTAAAATAGTACCACTTTTAAATTAAGTGATCCATTTTTAAATTTGTAATCCAATAAAGTTTCTTGTTATTAAACACGCATCCCATCTTGTCATTTTATTTAGACATTGACACTTGCTCTACCTTTTGTTTCAAGATTTCTCTCCCGATCCCTAAGGGGTTCTTAAAGGCTGGTTTTAATTAAGTGACACCTGCCTGGTTTCAAGTAAAAACTGGGGTTAGTGCAGTGCAGAGCATGGTTTTCTCTTCTCTTCCCAGACCCCTGGGGCGGGAGGCGGGAGCATGAGCACCTGCCGCGTGTGCGCCGAGCGTGATCAGGGAGGCCGAGGCCAGTGAGAAACACCAGCCCGGTGTCGAGACCTGGGGAGGGGTTGCTCTCACAGGCAGGACTCGGTCATTTTATTTCCAGGACCCAGTAAGTGTGAAATGAATGCGCAGGAGATTTAAATTAGACCCGCGCAGTAGGAACTCACGAAGAACCGCCCTGAGTTCCGAAGTGCTTCTGTACAGCCAGACGTTGAAATCCGTTACCTTAAAAATGGAAAAACAAATTTAAAGTATTAAGCTATCGAAAGAAATAACAGGCTATACACAGCGATTGTCCTTAGAGTTCACAGTGTAATTCGGGTGTGTTCTTCTCAGAATACAAACTACAGGTAAAAGTGTTGGGCTTTAAAGAATTTTAATCAACAGTTAACTCTCCTCCCTCCTCGCCCCTCCTTCCCCCCCCCGCCCCCTGACACATTTAGCTGGAGAAAATTGGCCAGTTAAGAAGAGTTCTATCCCACTGGGAACTGTGATGTGAATGTTCACTGACATAAAAATCCACATATTGTTGTCAGTTTCAAAAACAGGAAAAGTACCCACATTGAGGATGCTGTTTCCCAGTGAACAGTCGGACTCTGTGCTGACAGCCCGGGGCCTGGAGCCTGCTTCAGAATCCGGGTCTCACTTTTTCCCGGCCCCGCGCCCTCTCTCAAAAATAAATAAATAAACATTTTAAAAGAAAACAACAGAGTTACTGATTGACAAGTTCCTAGGTAGTAATGGAAGAATTCTGTTGTAGAGAGGTTAGGTAAATTGAAGTCGGTCAAAAGGAATCTAAGAGCTGTGTGTTCCAGTGGCTGTCACGTAGTAAGATGCAGTGGGGGAGTTTTTATGAGAAACTTGTTCACTGCTGCATCTTTAACATCTAGAAGAATGCTTGTCACATAGTAGATGCTCATGAAACCATTTTTCCCAGTTATGTTTGTGTCTGTATTACATTTGTTCTTGATCATATAGGAGCTGAGGTGTAAAGTATGTTCCACATGATGAGGACTGTGGAAGCCAGTTAGATGACCACCAGTTGGCAGTGTTTTAGACTCCTTACTGACTGACTGACTTATTCATTTATTTATCCATTTATTGCGAGAGCACACGGGGGAGGGGCAGAGAGGGAGACTGAGGATCTGAAGCCGGCTCTGTGCTGACAGCTGTGAGCCTGACAGTGAACTCCAAGATCATGACCTGAGCTGAAGTCAGATGCTTAACCGACTGAGCCCCCAGGCGCCCCTAGGCTCCCAGCTTTAAAGGAAGAAATGTAATGAGTTAGAGTCTTGAGAGATCTCTTTGGTACCTTAAATTCTGCAAAGTGATGCAACAGTTTTATTATTAATGGAAACAAGTTTTTTTCCAATTGGCTTGTGTACTCTTATACTTGTTTACCCAACTGGTGGATGGAAAATGAAGGCACAGGTGACTACCTCAGATGACTTGCTCTGATTCCTCTCCCTGGGTGCTATAAAAAGACAGCTAATTATTATTATTTTTTCCCTCTTAATGGCCAGGACTGCAAAGATAGCGACATGTGATATGTGATCTGTCATATGGTCCAGCCAAATTAGCCCAAGTGTTTCCAAAATTGGAGGACTGAGCTACTTTGAAATAAAAAGGTTTTTTTTTTGTTTTTTTTTTTATCCTTAAATGTGGTTTACGGTATACCTCCAAATCATTCTTGTAACAATGCCATTTGCAAGTACAGGTGATGTAAAATAAAAAGCAGAAACCATAGAAGCCCTGGAGTAGAACGCCCCACCTACGCCTTTCATCTTTCTGGCGCTAGTTCCCAAATCTGTCGGAGCCATGAAGCCTTCTTACTTCTGTGGGACCCTGGGGGTCTCTCAGGGTGCCACTCCCCGCCATACTCCTTCCCCGAGGTCACGTCTGGAAGATGAGAGAAGCACTGTTTCTACTGGAAGCTGCATCTGGGGCTTTGCTGTCCCATTTTGCCTACAATATGCAGAATGTGTGATGAAGCCGAGGGAAGTTCAGATGAGGAGACGGCGTGGGTAACACTGCGTGTCTGAATCCGATCCTGCTAGAACTGCCCTGCACTTCTGCTTGGGAAAGCCATTCAGTTCCCTTTGTGCTTTAGCTACTTTGATACACATTTCTTTTTTTTTTTTTTTAATGTTTTATTTCTAGAAGAGAGAGAGAGACAGCGTGAGCAGGGGAGGGTCAGAGAGAGAACAGAGCCCGACGTGGGGCCCGAACCCACGAACCGCGAGATCATGACCTAAGCGAAAGTCGGATGCTTAACCGACTAAGCCACCCAGGTGCCCCTGGATACATGTTTCTGTAATGAGCAACTGAAAAAAATTTTTTGAACGCCTGGGTGGCTCAGTCGGTTAAGTGTCTGACTCTTGATTTCAGCTCAGGTCATGATCTCATAGGTTCCTGAGTTTGAGCCCTGGATTGGGCTATGCACTGTCAGTGCAGAGCCTGCTTGGGATTCTCTACAGTGCTCTCTGTCTCCTGCTCTCTCTCAGAATAAATAAACTTAAGAAATTAAAAAAATTTTTTGAACCCTCAATTGTTTTGGATGAATATTTGAATTGAGTAAATGTATAATGGTCCTGAATAAAATTCTGATATCAGAATATCAAAAGCTTTGAGAGTACTCCTAAGATTCCCAGGTAATTGCAGAAGTAGGAACCATCTGGAATGGGCAGTTACCATCACAGGTCATTATCAGGGTCATGTATCTCAGGACTCTGTCATTGATCTGTCCCATATTGTTCCCCCTCTTAATGATTGCTATGCTGATCCTGTTTTAAAATTCATCAAAATATGCCCATGAGACCCAATGCTCATAAATCCTCTCCCCATTAAAAACTTTAAGAATTGAGATACAGTGGATACATGACGTATTAATTTTAGGCTTACTGTGTAATGATTTAATACATGTATTTTTTGCAAAATGATTGTCACAATAAGTCTAGTGAACATCCCTCACCACAGTTATGTTGTTTTCTTGTGCTGAGGCCTGTTAAGATCTTTCTTCATGACTTCCAAATATACAATGTAGCATTGTTAGTGGTAGTTACCATAGCATTAATTTTTAAAGCTTTTATTTAAGTAGATAATTATTTTTTAACTCAGTAGATATTTAAGTAGATAATTATTTTTTAACTCAGATTTCCTTTTCTTAGGCTGATCAAGTTGTAACTTCTAGTTTTCTTAATGTTTTGATTACTTATTTGCCTTTCCAGTGTATTCCACTGGGACAGTTGATTCAAGTGGGTAGTTTATAATGCACAACTTTATCCTCCCTGAGATTAAGTTGGCATTACTCAGGAAAAACCCCGTTTGGTGACTGCTGTACTTGAGGTAAACTGAAAATAGAAGTTTTTGCTTACAAACATGCCAGGAAAGAGTTTAGATGGTTTAGCTCCAAATTCAGTCGCTGGTGGGGGAAAAAAATGACTCATCTAATACAGTAGTAGTATTTTTATACATGAAGGCTGATTTTTAATAAATGTTTGCCACGTTACTGGCTACCTGATTTTAAGTGAGTTCTGAGGGCAGAGAGGATTGGTTCAAAGCTATTTGGGGTTTATTTTTAAGAGAGCATGCATGTGCGTGGGGGAGGGGCAGAGAGAAAGAGAGAATCCCAAACAGGCTCTGCATTGTCAGCACAGAGCCCAATGTGGGGCTCGAACTCAGGAACCATGAGATCATGACCTGAGACGAAATCCGGAGTTGGACACTTAGCCGACTAAACCACCCAGGTGCCCTGGTTCAAGGCTATTTTTTTTAATTTTCTTTTTTAATGTTTGTTTATTTTTGAGAGAGAGAGAACACGAGCGGGGGAGGGGCAGAGAGAGAGGGAGACACAGAATCTGAAGCAGGTTCCAGGCTCTGACCTGTCAGAGCCCCATGCGGGGCTTGAACTCAACCATGAAATCATGACCTGAGCCAAAGTCGGACGCTCAACCAACTGAGCCACCCAGGCACCCCAGGTAAGGCTATTTTTAACTACCACCTATGAAACTTGTTTTATTACCTTTGTCTTTTAAATCCAAATCATGAACTAGTGAAAATTATTTCCTTGACTCCATGGTTTTCTCTACTTTACGTCTCTGTGTTTGTGTGTACTTGCTCACCTGGGCTTTCTAGTCCTTTCCTAGGAAATTGGCATTGCATAATGGTTAATAGCACAGGCTTTTGGGGGCACCTGGGTGGCTCAGTCAGTTAAGCATCCAACTTCGGCTCAGGTCATGATCTCACGGTTCATGGGTTCGAGCCCCCTGTCGGGCTCTGTGCTGACTGCTCAGAGCCTGGAGCCTGTTTCGGATTCTGTGTCTCCCTCTCTCTCTCCCCTCCCCTGCTCACGCTCTCTCTCTCTGTCTCTCTCTCTCTCTCTCAGAAATAAATAAAAAATTAAAAAACATTAAAAAAAAGCACAGGCTTTGGATCTCAGGTTCATATCCGACTACTGCTTACTAGCTATGAGACTTTGACCAAGGAACTTCACCTCTGTAGAGCAGAACAGCATCCTACCTTATGGAAGTGTGGTGAGGGCTAAACAATAATTGGTAAAGACCTTGAAAGAGTACCCAGGGGCGCCTAGGTGGCTCAGTTGGTTAAGCGTCTGACTTCGGCTCAGGTCATGATCACATGGTTTGTGAGTTTGAGCCCCGCATTGGGTTCCGTGCTGACAGCTCAGAGCCTGGAGCCTGTTTCAGATTCTGTGTCTCCCTCTCTCTCTGCCCCTCTACCACTCGTGCTCTGTCTCTCTCTGTCTCAAAAATAAAACC